CTCCTGAGGCTGAGAGGGTGGGGATAGGTTAAGGCCTCCAGCTTCTCTCCTCCTCCCCCCACTAGAGTGTGATGATCTCACCTTGGAGGTGCCGCCTACTGCCCTGGAGACTGGCGAGGTTGAGCAGATGGCACTAGAGGCCTGGAGCGTAGCGGCTGCATAGCTGGGCCCTGCTGGCTCACTGGCTGTGGCTGCAAAGGGAGAAAGTGGGTCCAGGATGAGAGGGCCCCAAGTCCCTTCCACTCCTATCTATGAGGCTGTTATGCCCCAAACCCAGGAGTCCAGGCCTCCAGCCCCTCTTCCCTCAGACCCAGGAGTCTGGGTCTCAACCCTCTGCTCACTCAGACTCAGGTTTTCCGTCCTCACCTGGGGACGTCTTGTTGATCCGGCTGAAGAAGAGCGCCCCTGGCCTCAGGGAGCTGGCGCTCTCATCCTCCTCCTTCACACGGAACTGGCCGAGCTTGGTCACTGTCACCTTCTAAGGTCCCACAAGGTCAGTGCCGTGGGTGGGCTGCTGGCGGGTGGGGGTGAACAGGCAAGGAGAAGGCTCTGCGGGGTGGCGGGTGGATCTTACCTGGGCTGGGGCCTCTGCCTCATCTTTGTCCGGGGGGCTGTGGAACCGTACAAAACTCAGGCCATAGGGGGAGTCCTGGAAATGAGGGGTGGGAGTTAGGGCCCCAAGACCCTTCCACTTAGGGAAACCCCTGTCTGGCTCTTTCCTTCTCACGGACATCCGTGTCTCAGGAGGTGCCCTGATGACAACTATAATATCCAGCTGTCGCTACTGAGCCCTAACTCTGAGTCAGGCTTGGCTTTAAGCCCTTTACACGCATTAGCTGCTTCAGCCTCATTGCTACTGGCAAAGTCTCTGGGCGTCCACGCAAACCTACTGCCCCATGTCCAGACTCCTGCCTATGGAATGGGGCGAGTGCTGGGTGCCCCTTCCAGGACACAGAAATGCTCCAGGCTCTTCCCCACAACTGCTGGCTGGACCCAGAAAATGGGAGAAGCTTGGGTCCCCAGATGACCTCATGAAGAGAAGCCAGTTGACAGGATAAACACCCCCCAGGACAGTTACAAGGGCGGGAAGTGTACCTCTATTGTGTGGCACCAACAGATACTCATGGCTCACTGTTACCAAACACTGCATTCCTTCACCTACAGTAACCCAATAAGGATCAGGAAACAGAGGCCCAGAGAGGGTAAGTCACTTAACTAAGATCACACAGCTGAAAAGTGGTATAGCCAGGATTTCAACCTGGTGGTCAGACCCCAGATCTCATGACTTTAACTACTAGGCCCACCCTACTGGACCACTTCTCTAACAAGTCAGCTGCCCCCTCTTCCAATTCCCTCTGACATGCGACAATTCACGCTCCCTAGATTCCCTCCAGGACACGAAGCTTCTCACCATGGGGAGGATCCCAAACCCATTTCAGGGAACACAGGGACCCAGCCTCGATATAATCCCATGGGACACCAGCTGTCTACTCCTTCCAGCCCTCTGGGACTCGTTATTGGCCCCTCCGTTCCCTCCTTGTCCAGGACCAAGGATTCTACACCCCAGGACCCACCCTAGGTACCTTGCTGTAGGGCTGGCTGCAAACAATTTTGACACGGTCCCAGCGCTTCTCAGCTGCTGCCCGGACCAACTTGTCAGGCCCAAACATGCGAACTCGGTTGGGGTTTGAGCCACTGCGGCTCTCAGAAGGCGACATGAAAGATGAGGTGACCAGAAGGACCTGGGTGGGAGAAGGCACAGTGAATAGGAACCAGGGCAGGCTTTAGATGTCACCTTCTAGGGGCTGGGGCAGAGTGCAGAGGGCCCAGGTAGGGGACGGGCGTCACCAGAATCCAGCTAGGGCCTGGACGTCTCTAGACCTTTCCTCCGTTTTGGGCCTCCAGTCAGTCCTGCTCTGACACAGGGCCCAGAAGGATCTTTCTAACCTCCAGATATGAACAATCCTTCTCAAATTCTTCCACATGTCTTCATATTTGGCAACGCGGGGGGCTACGTGTCCTAAGGAACTTTCGCAGCAGAGAATATTCACAGTGACTGGCACGATATTCAGACACCTTTTGGAAATGCACGGGTGAGTCAGCAGAAAGGTAAAAGTAATTACTGGAGGCCAGAAACGAGAGGACAGAATCCAAAGACGCAAGGGAGCTGTGTTAATTATTGTTTCTCAGCCCAAACCCACCCTCTACATTCAGTTCTGTGATCCCGGCCTGGACTTGGCAACCTGAAATTCTGCTTTGCTGGTTGCTCCTTATCAGGCTCTGCCAACAGGGGGAGCCAGAGAGAGGCTACAAGGCTGCCGGGCGGAGAAGGACCTGCTGCTGCTCGTGCATTTGCAGATCCCATGAGCATCACCCCAGGGACGCTTCTGCTTGTGCAGTGGTTCCTCCTCGCAGCAGCAGCGGATGAATCCAGTTTGCAGGTCCCAACACCTGCAGCTCTGGCCTCCTGCACCCCTTCTCCTGGGGCAAGAGCAACACCCCCTCGGGGTTTGAGTTTCAGCTCCTGGGGCTTCTAACACCTAATTCCAATAACTCCAACCTCTGTCCTTTGTTCTCCCAGTGGTAGCTGCCCTCTGCTGTTGCTTCTTAGTCATACCTTAGTCTTCTAGTAACACCTAGTTACTAGTTCTTTATATTAAATTCTCTCTGTTAAGATAACTTGTGTTGGTTCATCCCTTGGTGTGGAGCACACAGCCCTCCCACTCTTTTTCAAAATTGCCTGGTCAATTTTGACTATCATTTGTTCCTTCATCATACCATCAATATTTTCATTTATTTCTTTGAACTATTAAACGTACTTTTTATTTTTTTATTTATTTATTTTTTTTGAGACAGAGTCTTGCTCTGTTGCCTGGGCTAGAGTGCCGTGGCGTCAGCCTAGCTCACAGCAACCTCAAACTCCTGGGCTCAAGCGATCCTCCTGCCTCAGCCTCCAGAGTAGCTGGGACTACAGGCATGCGCCACCATGCCTGGCTAATTTTTTTCTATATATATTTTTAGCTGTCCAATTAATTTCTTTCTATTTACAGTAGAGACGAGGTCTCGCTCTTGCTCAGGCTGGTCTCGAACTCCTGACCTCAAGCGATCCTCCCGCCTCGGCCTCCCAGAGTACTAGGATTACAGGCATGAGCCACCGTGCCCGGCCTAAACATATTTTTTAAATATTATATCTTTTAATTTCAATATATGTAGCCTTTGTGCATATAAGTTTACAACGTACAGTATCTGCTGACCCTAAGTCAGGGCAGCTTGTGTTCTCATGGGGGGCATATGTGTGTATTTTTAATCATTAACTTCTGTTGTTTGGGAACATGTCTGTGGGAATTCTCTGAGGACCTGCTATGAAGTACCTTCCTCCAAAAAGGATTTGCCCTGCCATCAGACAGCACTGTGGACATAGGACCACTTAATATTTTCAGCTTGGTCTCTTTTCTAACTGACATATTGTGAAATTTGTTGTGTTTTTTGTTTTTTTTCAGACAGAGACTTACTCTGTCACCCAGGCTAGAGTGACGCCTAGCTCACAGCAACCTCAAACTCCTGGTCTCAAGCGATCCTCCTGCCTCAGCCTCCTGCGTAGCTGGGATTACAGGCATGCGCTACCATACCCGGCTCATACTGTGAAATTTGTAAAATTAGAAAATAAAGCCTTTTGCTGAGAAGAATGCAGAATATAATTAACTATATATATGTCTCTGTGAGCAACAAAGCATGATCCCATCTATGAATGAATGAATGAATAAATAAATGAGAGAGAGAGAGAGAATGACTCTGATTGTCACACTTATATTATCCAACACTGTCTAAGCTTCTGGAGTTAAACCTTTAATCCTTAGTCTGCATTAACTTCAAAAGCTTATGAATTTCCTTTGTAGAATTCGAAGAATGATTCGTAGGTGACATCAACATTGACCGGCCTCACTCTGCCCTTTTTCCTTTTCTTTCTTGGTGCTTCCAGTTATATCTAGTTTCTGGCTGGAAACCAAATATTATAAGCCCAAGAGTCTTTAATTCAGTCTTAGCTACAAGTTGTAAGAGAAACCTGAGACTCCAGCAGAAGTTTAATTTCAAACCTTGAAAGAATGGGAAACTGTTGGCATAGGTGTTTTCAGACCTTAAAAAGATAAAACCCTCACCTAGTGTAGGTTAATCTGAGGTGTCGACTTGATGGAGGGATGTCTGGACAGCTGGTGAAGCTTGTTTCTGGGTGTGTCTGTGAGAGTGTTTCCAGAGGAGGCTGATGTGTGAGAGTCAGTGCACTAAGTAGGAAAGATCTGCCCTCACTGTGGGCGGGCACCATGCTATCGGCTGGGGGCCTGGATGGAACAAAAAGGCAAAAGAAGGGTGAATTTTCTCTCTCTTTTCTAGAGCAGGATGTCCTTCTCCTGAATTTGGACATCCGCACTCCAGGTTCTTTGGCTTTGGACTCTGGGACTTGGCACCAGCGACCTCAGACTGAGAGTTACACCATTTCCTTGGTTTACGAGCTTTCCAACGTGGACAGAACCTCACTACCAGCTTCTCTGGTTCTCAGCTTGCAGACGGCCTATCGTGGGACTTCCCAGCCTCCATAATCATGTGAGTGAATTCCCCCAATAAATCCTCTCTTATATATCTGTATCTATGTCCTATTGGTTCTGTCTTTCTGGAGAACCTTGACTAATACACCTAGCCATTGCATCTTGCTAGATAGACAAGCAAAGGCAAAGAAATTCACATAACAGATGTGACAAAATTTTAGCTAAAAATGCATTTACTCTGTTTGTGTCATTATAAAGTAGAATTCTGACTTAAATACATTCACCAAGAGGAGCAGAGAACTTTTTTATAATAGTCCCAAAGACTGTTGACTTACCTAACCTTGAGAAGAAAAATAATGTTTGTTATAGGGAAACTTACTCATTCAAGTGTACCTTGTAGAACATAAAAAGCACTTGATAAAAGTCAATACACATTCAGGAAAAAAAGCTTTCAACAAACTGAAAAACAACTTCCTCAACCTGACAAAGGATATCTCTAAAAAACAAACAACCTACAGCTAACATCATATTTAATGGTGAAAGACTCAACACATTGCCCCTAAGATCAGGAACAAGGCAAGGATGTCTGATTTCACTTCTATTCAACATTTCTATTCAACACTGAACGAGAGCTAGTCAGTGTGACAAGGTGAGAAAAAGAAAACAAAAAACTGTCTTTTTTCACAGATGACATGATTGTCTATGCAGAAAATTGCAAAGAATCTACACAAATTACAAGAATTAATAGGTGAATTTAGCAAGACACAAGAGGTCAAAAGTAAGTGAATTTAGCAAGGTCACAAGATACAAAGTCAATATACAAACATCAACTGTATATTGCACTGAAAAGAACACAATGTCACACCTGTGGTATTCTGGCCAAAAGTGTGTAACCTAAATTTAAATTTAATCACAAGGAAACACCAGACATTTTGTACAGTAAGTGACATTTGACAAAGATCACTGACCTCTGCTCTTTAAAAATGTCAATGGCACAAAACACAAAGAAAGTCACAGGAACTGTTGTCAATGAAAGAAAACCAAGGAGATGTGACAAGCCGATGCAATGTATGATTATGCTATAAAGATTTGCTGTAATGATGTGCTATAAAGAACATTATTGGGACAATGACGGAGATCTGAATAAGGTCTGAGATCAGGTGATATAGTATTGTATCAATGTTCATTTCCTAATTTTGGTAATTGTACTAAAGAAAGAAAATTTCTTTGCTTTTAGGAAATACCCACTGCAGTTTGCAGGAATAAAGGGGCATCGTGTATACAACTTACTCTTAGTTCAGAAAAAAGTATGTACAAATTTGTTAACTTTGGGGAGTCTCAGTGAAGAGCATATGTACTATTTCTACAACTTTTCTGTAGGTCTGAAATAAAGGAATAAAGTCATTGACAAGCTGGTTTTATAATTTATATGAAAACAAATGTAAAGGATCTAGAATAGCCAAGAGAATCTTAAAGAAGACTAATGTTGGAAGCCCAACACAACATAGTTTTCATATATACTTTTACTATTAAGACATAAAGATCACCTACAGAGCTGGGTGTGGTGGCTCACACCAGTAATCCCAGCAAATTGGGAAGCTGAAGCAGGAGGATCACCTGAGGCCAAGAGTTTAAGACCAGCCTGGGCAACACAGTGAGATCCTACCTCTAAAAAATTTTTTTAAAAACTAGCCAGGAGGCCGGGCGCGGTGGCTCACGCCTGTAATCCTAGCTCTCTGGGAGGCCGAGGTGGGCAGATTGTTTGAGCTCAGGAGTTCGAAACCAGCCTGAGCAAGAGCAAGACCCCGTCTCTACTAAAAATAATTAATTGGACAACTAAAATATATAGAAAAAAATTAGCCAGGCATGGTGGCGCATGCCTGTAGTCCCAGCTACTTGGGAGGCTGAGGCAGGAGGATCGCTTGAGCCCAGGAGTTTGAGGTTGCTGTGAGCTAGGCTGACGCCACGGCACTCACTCTAGCCATGGCAACAGAGTGAGACTCTGTCTCAAAAAAAAAAGAAAGGGTCTTTATAAGAAAGAAGGAGGCAAGAGAGTGAGAGTTGGAGAAGTGACGCTGGAAGCAGATGCTAGAGTAGCAGCGGTGCTGGCTTTGATGAAGGAAGGGGCCCGAGCACAGGAGGGCAGGGGTCCTCTAGAGGCTGCAATAGACAAGGAAATGAGTTCTCCCCCAGAGCCTCCCGGAGGAATGCAGCTCTCCCCACACCTGGGTATCGGCACAGTGAGAGTGATGTTAGACTACTGACCTCCAGAACCATCAGATCATAAATTTGTGTGACAAGCTGTGACGCAAACTCAGTCTCTCCCCTGATGTGAGAAGTTTACCACCCTGTATGTGTCCTTTGTGCCCTCTGTACGCTGGGCGATCCTCCAGAGGGCAGCGGATCAGTCAGGTGTGACTCCCCTCTACCTCCTGGCCCCGCCAGAGGCCCTGAGGGAGACAATGATGGGGGCGTGTGGACCAGAGGGCAGCACAGGGTCTGTGTGACCGCCCCGCTTACCTCATAGTCTTGCTCCCCGGCGCCCCCGGCCGAGCTGCCCACCAGCACCTCCACGAAGGCCGAGCCGTCGTTCCCAATATCCACGCTGTGTATCTGCTCTTCCTTCTCCAACTGCGGGCAGAGACAAAGGCCACTGTCAGTGCCTGCTCTGTCTTGGGCTCACCGTGGGACCCGAGGATAAGTCCCATCTGGGCCACCCTGTGTCTTGAAATGTCAACTCTGTGACAGTGGGGACCAGAGCTGATTGGTGCCACCGTGTCCCCTGCATGCAGTAGAGGGCATGGCACAGTGCAGGAGCTTAAAAAAGATTCACTGAATGAACGCGCACACCCCCACCCCCTGCACACCTGTTTCCCTGACTCTACAGACTCCACCGGACTGGCCTATCACAGGCCGCCATGGCGCTCTCCTTGGTAACACTTGCCAGAGTTAGGACTTTATTCAAATCATCATGCGGATAAACAGCACATGCCACCCCTACCCGCGTGTGCAAAGGACTCCATGGAAGCTCCCTGAGGGCAGGGCTTTGTCCAGTTTTGCTCACCACCGAGTCCTGGGTTTGACTCCCAGCTCTACGCAAGCTGAATGGCCTTGCCACCTAACCTTCTAGAGCCTAAGTTTTCTCATCTGTAAAATGGGGATGATCATCAGGATCATGCACATAAATAATGGCCATAGGACATGGCATGACATGGCATGACACTTAACCACTGTCAATCAGGAGGCATTATTAGTTGATGCTCGATAATTATTTGTTGAAAGAAGAAAAGAGCTATCTGTAGGAGGGCTTCACTCAAACAATCTGTCATTCCTGCCTGAGAACTGAAGGCGCAGAAAGCTGTACGGGCGTGGGAGGCAGTTAGGAACAGTTGAGGCAAGTCTCCTGCCTTCCAGTTTGGGGCTCTTTCACTAGGATTCTAGAATGACAAGTTATTACAAACTTCAAAGGTACCTAGTCCACCATCCTACGCTGCCCTCCCTTGTCCCTAGGACAATCGTATGTTCCAATCTGCTCTGTCACCTCCCAGTCGGGAGGTCACCAAGACATCACCTGCGCACTACTACACACAGGAACATCGCTGTATGAGAGGGAGGCACCTGGACTTGGGGTGAGGCAGGCCTGGGCTCAAATCCGGCCCTGCCATTTCCAAGCTGTGCAACCCTAGGTGACATAACCCATGTCTCGGAGTAGCAGTTTCCTTGGAGGGGGGCTGTTATAACTTTCCTTCTGAAGGGAGATGACAGAATAACTACCGTTGCAGCCAACATCTGAGTGCTCGCGATGTGCCAGACTCGTACTCTTCTCCTCGCAACAGCTCTGCCAGGCAGGTGCTATAATTATCTCCATTTTACACATGAGCAAATGGAGGAAGGAAGTGGTTATGTAACTTCACAGCTGGTGGGTGGCAAAGCCAGACCCAGACAGATGGCTAGAGTCCTGCGTGCTGCTCCGCCACGCCACTGGAGAAAGGTGGCGCACAGGGTAGGGCCTTCCCGAGGCTGAGGCCAGCTGGCCTCCTGCTGACTCCTGCCTCCACTACGCTCCAGCCCTGGGCCCTGGGCGGTGCGGTGCTGCCCAGGCACGCAAGCCGCCCCAGTGTGACTGCTCCACCTCCTGCCACACTCGATCACTCTCCTTCAGCCACATCAGCCTCCCTTCTGTGCCAACAACGGGTTGGCTCCTACCTCAGGGCCTTTACACTTGTCGTCCCCTCTGCCTGGGCCCCTCTTCCCCCAAACCCTCCCATGGTTGACTTGCCACCTTCCATCGCTTGGGTCAGATGTCAGCTGTCACCTCTTCAGACCCAACAAGTAGCCTCCCTCTCCGCCTACCAGGAGCCACTCTCTGTCCCCTAACTCAGTTTTATTTTTCTTCATACCACCACCTGGTAATACACACTTTTTTTTGTTTGTATTTGTAATTTTTTTTTAGAGACAGGGTCTTGCTGTGTCGCCCAGACTGGAGTGCAGTTACGGAATCATAGTTCACTGCACCTTGAACTCCTGGGCTCAAGCAATCCTCCTGCCTCAGCCTCCCCGGTAGCTGGGACAACAGGTGCGTGCCACTATGCCCAGCTTTGTGTGTATTTGTGTAGCACCTGTCTCCCCCACTAGACTTTTAAGTTCCATGGGGGCAGCAGGGACAATGTCTGAGTTGTTGCCTGCTGTGTTCCCAATGTCAAGAACAGTGTCTGGTCCTTCCCAGTTCTGCTGATTTCCTGCTGTACGATTCTAGAGCAAATGGCTTCATTTCACCTCTTGTGCCTGTTTCCTAACCTGTAAAATGGAGACAGTAACAACCTCAATCTCATAAAGTTGTTGTGAAGATTCAAATGAGGAATACATGCACAGTCCGCGGAGTAGGGCCAGGCACAGAGCACACACTCCGTAAAGGTCAGCAGCTGATACTGTTACCACAGTGGGTCTTCAACACACTCCTGATGAGGCAGATGGATGGACAGACAGGCAGACCCCAACAGCCATTTGCCAAAGGAATAAATACCACCTGAGTAGTAAGTCCAGCTCTGTCCTCCCTCGCCAAGGGGCTCCGTTGAGTCACTTCTCTGTTCCCTGCCTCAGTGTCCCCACTAGGCACAAGGGGGTCATCAAGGCTGACATTTTTGGGTTCTCACTGTGTGCCAGGGGCTTGGTATATTCATTTCCTATCACTCTTGTAACTAATTACCACCAACTTAATGGCTAAAAACAACACAAATTTATTATCTTACAGATCTAGAGGTCAAAAGTCTGAAATTGCATCTTACTGGGCTAAAATCCAGGTGTGGGCAGGGCTATATTCCTGGAGGCTCTAAGGGAGAATCTGTCTCCTTGTCTTTTTGGCTTCTAGAGGCTTCCTGCTGTCCTGGGCTTGTGTCTTCCCCGTCTTCAAAGCCAGCGACGGCATCACTCTGACCTCTGCTCCGGCCTTCACACTCTCTCTCTGCGTCTGGCCTTCTCGCCTCCCTCTTTCCCTTACAAGACTCCTGTGATTACCTGAGGCCCCCTGGATAATCCAGGGCACTCTCCCCATCTCGGGATCCTTAACTGGATCAAACCTGCAAAGTCCCTTTTGCCATTAAAGTAAGACATTCACAGGTTCTGGGCACTAGGACGTAGACATCTTCTGGGGGCCACTATTAAGTCTACTACACTTAGCTAAGCTCTTCCTGGCCTAGGCATCACTGAATCCTCAAAATCACTTTAAGTAGAAGGGTCTAGTACCACTCTGGTTTTACAGACAGGGAAACTGAGGCTCAGGCAGGTTAAATCAGGGCAATTTGGACCCAACTGCCTGACTTCAAAGCACTGTCTAATGCCAACGTTTCTTCTCAACTCTTCTCCTCCAATCCCCGAGGTAAAATCCAACATCCTTCACCTCTCCCACAATAGAAAGCACAGGTCTTACATCTGGTATGGTGTAGATATTTGCATTTTAAATGAATGATTCTTACTGCATATAAAACTTCTACTTTAAATACATACATGCACTCCCTAGTATTCTTTTTTTTTTTTTTTT